TCTGCATCACTGGTAGGAAACATTGTGGACTGATAGATAATAATGGCCATTTGTTTGTCCTTCGCTGTACTTTTTATCATTCACTAAAGAAAGGAAACATTCTGCAACAATCACTTCTATTTCAGCGGGCTGTCATGACATACCTATTACATATAGGTGGATGAAAAGCACAGGACGTAAAGTTACTGAATGGTATTATTGCATTGGCAGTGTTGCTCTAAGATAGTGTCTCAAATAGGCATAGCAGTTCAAATTAAATGGACTTCAAAACAAGAAGAATGCACTTTTAGTCATAACAAAGTGGAGAAGATGAAAGGTTTTGATTGAGGGAATGTGTTTTACATTTGTTTTTTAAGGGCCACTCAGCAAGCTGTCAGTATAATCAAAGGTGTTTGAAGAAATTGAAGCAGTTTAACACACAGACACAGCTAATAAAAGTTGTATCCTGTTGACTCCACATTGCTAAAGTCAGTAACATTCAGTTACAGATAGTTTAAATCTAATTAGATCCTAAGCGTGTCCAGGTGACAATAATGCAACCTCCCTGATCAATGGATGATCAGACAGACCAGCGTTCACTCTTCTTAAGAACCTATTTATTGTGTTTGTTAGCCTTGTAAAATCATGGAGCAGACAAATTATACATCCAGATCATATCAAGCTAGATCACAAGAAATCCTCTCTTCATCTCGCAGGAACGAGTGAACTATGTGTGCTCTGAAAAACAGCTTTAACTTTATGGATATAAAGAGCAACTTAAATCTAAAAGAATCACTGGAGCATACCTCTTTAAGTCGTCTTTTTATGTGGAAAAAACAACAGTTTTGCTCAAAAAACCTTCAGGCCAGAAGTGTTGATGGTTTTTTTCCACATAAAATGTAAAGTAGAATGAATAGTAATGTTCCTGCAATTGTATTATTTGGCTCATTTGGAAGATCTGGAACAGAACTAATTTGTGCAAACTTTTATGGATATTTGCTGTATTGTGGCTTTTGGCATGTCCTGTCATGACTTTGAGTGCTACTTTACTTAATATTGTGTATAAGATGAAACAAGGATGTAGAATAGTAAATCAAATTGTTGCAGTTATTCTTTACCCGGAGTGAAATAAATGGACACCCACCTGGTAATCGTACAGTAATCCATATTCCTTTTAGGCCCTGGTATAACAGCTTTGATGTTGAGAGGCATTGGGAATGAGAGTATGGATTTAACATGGACAGCACTTTGAGACCTGGCATTATTCAGCTGAGATTCAAGGCTCATAATTGCCCTACAATTGTACACAAACATTAGAGCCCCTTTTCCTCATTTTTAGGTTTTTGCTCCCCAATGCCATAGGTCATGCATTCTACTGTATCACCTTTTTACTACCAAATGTTAGTTTGGAACCATGTAACGCAGCTGGTTCGTCATTGAAAACGTGTGCTGTGGTAATGGGACAGATGAGAATGGCGTTGACCACCCTTGAGGAATGTACAGCTCACAATTACAGAGATTCTCATCTAGACGGGGAGGCCCAGAATGAAGTTGTGCAATGTTTGGCTCTGTCACAGAAATTACTCATCCCACTGTCACTCTGCAGGTTTTCACATGAACACAAAGCAAGCTAGTCTAAGTAATGTTATACAGTACATACATTTGAGTAATTGACATATATGGCAAAAGTAAAAAACTAAAATCTCTCAGGTCAACGGTCAATTTAAAGTAACTTCAGAATTGAATGACTTTTTTTTTTTTCATACACTACTTTGTGTGCGATTAATATCCATGTTTTTATTTTTAATAAACTCTCCATCACTGAGGCATAGATAAACAAACAATATATGATGCAGTATAAATAAATGATATTGATGTTTGCTGCTCCTGCAGAATAACACCTTTAGGATGATCAGGAGTCAGGTTTCACTGACACCTAAGAGTCTCACTCCTCCTGCACAACCAGAAGATCTGTCCCTACAGCCTCTGCTGCCTCAAGGACTGCAAGATTGGTGAGCTGACCTAAACAGGGCTGAATCAGTGACTAAAACATCAGAGTTTGGTAACAGTATGTTGACCATTTAAGAGCAAGAACACTCTGGGAAAACAAACAATGTGTGCGAAGTGATTTGTTTGTGTAATGACGTTAGGAATTAGCTCAAATTGCCTTTGGAAGCCAAAACATAATCACAGCTTAAATTGTTACTGAAATCAAAGATTTTCTTTGGGAACATGGATTTCTTGCATGTTTACAGCAGAGCTATTTTGCATTATTGCATCATTAAAATATTTTACCTTTTATTTCAATGTTACAAATATTTATAACTACAACTTTTTATTTTTGGACTGAGAAAAAAATTCTATCTGAGTATCTTGGTTCACCCTGAGCATTCTAGAACCGATCACTCTTAAACAGGACATATGATGAATTACAATTAATTATTAATAATGTAAAATTCACAAAGCTGAGACTTTTAAATCAATTCATTAACTTATTCAGAGTGTGTTGTGAATTGTTTCCATCCCGTGAATTCACAGTTCCCTTTTTGGTAACACTTTATATTAAAGCCTGGAAAACAAAGTGTTGCTTTGTACACATCGGGTATCAAATAACATATTTCCAGGTGTCTTCTGGTGCAAATATGTGGGTTCACTGGAAGAAGGGAATAGTTGTGGAATAGGGGGGATCCATTTTGTGTGTTAGAGGGATCTAGAAATACAGTTTACTGTAAGTAAGACGGGAAGTGTGGGGGAAACGGTACTGATATTCTGAAGAACTAGTGGCATTTCTTTCAAATGTTGATAGTGATTACGGAGTAGAATATGTGTGCTCCAATCACTTAAATGTAGTCTGGGTAAAGCTGAACAAGCGTGACTCACAAGTTTCCAGATGGAAAATATGTTGTTTCCTTAAGAGACTTTTCTGTTCTTCAGTTGTGATAAAACACAATTTAAATCTTAGTGCTTAGCTTCTGTTCTAAACTCCCAACCTTAGAACATTACTGTACCCCAGCATTATTAAAGTGACTATATTGTTAATTAGCCTAATACCGCTCTCCTCTGGCTCTCTTAAACACATTTCCCTTCCCTTGTATTGTAAGTATTTTATAGGTACTTTAAAACAAAAACTGTCCAATGAGTGAATGAATGAGTTGCCTCTCTGTCCATATGGCTTGGTGTTTACAGCCCTTGGTTTGGTTAATGACTTTTCCTTGGTCTGGACAGATTGAACAGAGTTACAGGTGTGGAAGCACCCTTGATCTTCTTATACTTGTTGGGACATTTCAGACAGTGATGTGATTTGTTGCTAAGTTATAGAATATTATCTTTCTTCAACATAAATCAAACACTGCTTAGTGACTGCAACTGTTAAGTTGATTCGCTCCATAAGTTAGAAATTATGAAGTGTTAAGTGAATGGAAAACAGCTGGCAGGTGGGAAGCATGATGGATGTAATACTGTGTGATCATCATCAATGTCGTGTTATCGTTGGGGTGCTAAAAAAGATGTTAAATTCCAAGTGTCCTGCATACAGTCTAGAGGTTTTTTTGTTTTTGTTTTTGATATATATTTTTGTGTGAATGGAAAACATCTTGTAATAATACAAGTTCAAGATGATAAATTAGACTTTTAAATTGTGATTTAAGTTGTGAAACAGTGCACGTACTGCATTGGGATGGGAATTTGAGAGGCCACAGCTGTCAATAATGCAAGAGAGATGTTTTGATTGTGGAGAAAACAGGTGTATAAGGCATTCATCAAGTCTGTTGTTTTGTTTCTGTGGCCACACACTTTGAATATGGGAATTCAAAAGAATGGCTTGTATTTATGCGTGTATTAGGTTTTTCCACACACCAAATGCTCCACCAACTCTACCATATTTTTGATGGTCTTGTTCACTATTATTTAATCCCAGCAGAGAGCTGTCATAACATATTGCGCCTGACTGTACCAGTCCCATTTACTTTATCAACTCCATATTTACCCTGTCCCATGCTGTTTGACATGCAGATTTCTTGATTGTTAAGCCGGAACAAAGCGGTCTGATCCTCTCTGGTCAGCATGCATTGTCCTGCTCGGTTATACCGCAGGAACAGCCTGAGGACTGATAGCATCCTGATTCTCTGCAGCTTCCCCTTGACATGGGACCCTCTGTGAGATCAGATGCCTGCTCTTTAGCATTGACATACTTTCTAACCAGCCTTCCTGGATCCACTGAGACACACAGAACACACCACAATTAGTGAAATTCCCTTTTTATCTCACTTCCTGTTCGTGCATTTTGTAGTCATGGATGGAATCTAACCACCATTGTAAGCCACGACTAAGCATTAGCTGTTCTTTGCCCCCTCTTTGAATGTTTAAACACTTCAGCTGTTTAGTTTTATGTAATCTCATCACATGTTTTTAATATATAGTTGCTTACAAGTTGGAGTTGCTGGGAATTATTATAAGTTACAGACTCAGTTAAGAGGACATTGACTCCTTTAAATCAATGGCGTTGTAAAACAACAATTAAAACAATCTCTTCATGTATTAAAAAAAACTCCTAACTAATCATTAAAAACATGTTTAAAGATAAGCTTCCATTCCCATGTGGACCCATGTGTTTATTCATGTCATTGTTATTTAGTGCTACAAAACATTTCTGGAGAAAAGAACACTAATGCTGTTTCTCATGGAGATAGACCCACTCAATAAACGGCTTGTTTTGATCAAATATGTACTGGTTGATTTGGTCCCCTGCTGATTATGCAAAAAAGAATATTAAAAGTTCCCCGGGGTTTTGTGCTGAAGTATGATGAGCCCTGTGAGTACAGCACAATGACCTAGCGAGGGTTAACATGAGCAGTGCTGTGTTCCCTCCTCCTGACATTGACTGAGCACTCACACACACACACACACACATTTTCTCCACTGAGGCCAGCACAGAGCCTGAGAGGAGGGACTGGTAGCAGCTCTGAGAGCCAGCTGTCGTTCGCTCCAAGTCTACTCTCCCTGACTCCCTCGATCTCCCCTAGTCTCATCACTCCATGGGACTCCAGACCTGGCCGACAAGCAAACCACTGTCCTCCATGGCCTGCCTTGATGTGGAGACCCCTTCCATCTGCAGGGGTAAATTTAAATCAGGTGATTTTTATTTTGTCATTGTCTAACCTGCATGCAGTTCATTGTTTTATTTGTATGTCTACGTAAAAAATATACTAGAAGTTTTTTTCACTAATATTTACTGATGCTGGCAGTACTGACGGGGGGTTGTAGTGACGTAGATGCAGCCCCAACAGGAAATGACAGGGCAACACTAAAGCTCATCAAAGTGATTCATGCCAAGCATCGTTCTTACAGAAGGGACTATTGTGTTCTCATGGATCATAAATCAGTTGCTTTAGAAGTCACGGACTGTGAGAGAGGGAATACTCAGTTTTTACTGCCTATGTTTATATTGGCACTCCGTTGAGACACTAATATGGTTTTCTGTCACATAATACAAGCACAAAGTCACTCCTGTTATGTAAGTTCACACAAAGAGCTTCATTCAGATGAAGTGCCATAACCAGATATGCTTCTGATCAAGATTCTGATCATTATTTGCATGTTTTTAATTTCCCTTGCTTGCATTCATCTACAGCAAATTCCTTTGATTAGACCAGGCCTAGAGTAAAATGGACTCTTTTTGTTTTAAATGCAACACAAAGCTGTCTTTGAATGATAACCAATGTTTCTGGTGTTTAAGTTCTATATTTATTTAAGATTATGGTTTTCTTATTGTAACTTCTGTGAAGTCACATTTAATCTAAATATTTACCAATTATGCAGGTTCTTGAGAGTGCATTTTGAGACAGACTAAGAAGATGCATTACGTAACAATCTAATGGCAAATGTGTATAATACTGAATATGTATGGCATGCAAGAAGTAAACAAATATTTTAATTCCATTGTGTCAGGGCCATTATGCAAGATTTGCAGGTTTAATATATATTCCATCTCATTAAATTATTATTCATGACCTGACTAAAGATAACTACTTCTTAACCAAACCCAGACCAGTTTGCCAACACAGACTTGGAGGACACGCCCACTCATGGGGAAGGAAACTAATGTTTTTCATCTCTGAGTCTGGCTTCATTTTAGGCCCTTTTTCTTTGGGAAAATAACACATTTTTGTGATGTGCTTACAAATAGTTTTTAATTAAGAAAGCCACTGACTACCTATCACTGTTTTATTCAGACATTCATTTTCAAGTAAGAAATAGTTAACGTTCAGCAGCCGCATTTGTCATCTATACATTCTCATTAACAATCATCTGGTTCACACTGTTTAAGCCTTGCTGATACATTTCTGCTTTGTTGAACTGATTTATGATAAAATTAGTAATGATATAGTTTAATTTTAGAACATGTCAGCTGATGGGTTTATAGACTTTTTAAATAATCACTAGCTGAATATTCAATACTTCATTGTTTCCAATTTGTTACAATACAAGACTATCAATTCAGTTGAATTCACATAGACTTTCTTTTAGAAATGATCATAGGAAAATGCATCTAAATAGGCCACCGCTCACACAAATTATTTTTTGATAAACCAACGTAATCTGTACAGTCATGGTTTAGTCTATCTCTGGTTATAGATGCCTAAAGGGTGTTCTGTTTATCGTCACACTAAAGTCAACATAACCCAGTGTCAGTCTAAACTACATTCAATTTTGTTTTTGGCTTCCAGTACTCTGCACAGATAAACCGTTATATCATTATTTGTACTGTTTCTAAAGAAAAACGGGAAAGTCAAATAAAATAAAAGTTCTGATGGGAGTCCTCCAGGGATGATTTGCTGAGAACAACATGGGTCTGAGATTAGCGATTACATCAGTAGACTGGGATTTCAGCAGAGCCATCTCTCTGTTTCTCCACAACCTCTGTTTATGCTCTGCTGGTGGGCAGGAGAGCGGAGCCAGTTTGCATCATGGAAAGGTTAGCCAGGGTTCAGGTTGAATACAAGAAGTGAGGAGCACCCTGGGCATGAGGTGTACCCCATAGTGATGCTCAGATCAAACTCCTTATTTGCTTGTGGCCCTGAAGGCAGCTTTTGATATTGATATGCAGCAATATGCACTCATAAATTATGTTGCCTGTGGCATTTTGTCCAAGTCACAGTGGATATGAATATTGAGACAAACTAATGGCAATTTTTTAACAATCTCTGGTATGATCTGTCTCAGACTGACCATAACCCCCCTGGCCTGGGTTTGTAATAGGAAACACAGCAGGCGGAGCAGGCACACTGTGTTCTCTTCCCCAGAGTTGGTGGGCTGCTGTGAGAGTAGACTCTGCCTCCCACCCTTTGCCTCGGCACTTGTCACTTTGTGTTCCCTTGCCCACCAGTGGAAGCCCGTGAACGTCCCCTCGGCTCTGCATTCAACCAGAGACCCCACCCCCTTAACTACCCCTAAATTTCATGATTCCCAGGCCTCGTTCTCACAGCTGCCCCGTTTATTTTTGCTGGAGTGAGTCACAGAGGCTTGTTCAGACGCCTTTCCCAGGAGAGTAGAGCAGGTCTGTGTGTGCGTGTACTTGTGCGTGAGTGGGAGTAGCTTTTCCCCCTGAGCCACTGAGTAGCTCTACGCCGGCTTGTCTTCACTACAGTGATGAGATGCGTCTCTTCACTACAGTGGTGACAACAAAGGTCTCATGTACCTCACACCGTTGCCTCATTTGTTACCTTTCTATTCAAACAGTTTTTTTTACTGAAATACCATGTCCACGCTCACTTGTTTATAAATGTTTAAACTGGGATCTTACTACAGTTTATATTGAAATAACACACAGGACCTTCCAAGTGTACGGGGTGCCTGCATGCAAGACTCAACAATTTCTGCTGGAAGATAGTCATGTCTTTGATATTCCACAATAACATAACTGATCACTGCTTTCCACCCAATGCAAAATTACATTTAGAAAGCTATTTATTATATACACACGACTTGGCTTTTGCTGGTGTCGTGAGCATCTCCAGCGTTGCTCATTATTGTGACTGCAGCCCTGACATTAATCCCTTTTTTATCCTTTTGTAGTCTGTACTGTAGTTACTTTGTTTGACTCCTCTATGTATTTGCATCCACACAGAGATATTGACTCTCGTTGGGAAGGCTCTTGGCCAATCAGGGTGAACTGTTCAAGAGCAACTTGTGGTATTCTTAACAACCCTAGTTAAAACCATACAGGAAGGGAATAGGATGTCTGTGGTGGTGAACATGGTTTACTGTTGGGCCTTGACGTAGCGTATTGATTGAGAAATAATAGTTTGTTTTATTTGAAGTCTGGCCTGTTTCACTTTTAAAGCTAGAGAGGGTTGTTAGATGACTTGTCGGACTTGGTTCTGAGTGGTAAAAGTTCAACTTTGACCTCTGTGTCTCTGCCCTCTCACAGTCCTTCAGCTCTGTTTGCAACAGAGGAGAACTCGGAAGCAGCTTGTGGAGCAAGGCATCATGCCGCGTAAGTATTCACATCACACAATAACAAAACCCTCAACCTATGCTTTGAATAAATCTAAACTAATTGACTAGCACCTAAAGAAATACAAGAAGAAAGTAACCAATATGTCCTGTTGTATCTCATAATTATCCTCTACTTTTCTTATTACTTGGGTTTTTTTCTGTGTCTCAGGCATCCTGCTGTTATTTGTGATTATGCAATTATGTGTTTTAAGTGTGTTCATAGCAACATGCACAGTACTCCTGCTTTACTTGTAGTTAAGGTAATGATGTTGGAGCTCATACTGATCTGTTAAAGGTTAAAAAGATGACATCTGCAATCTTTGCACATAGAACGTGTGTCTGCACATAAATCAATTGCTTTATTTACACAGTATGAAGTGTATTGTCCTACTCAGACGGTTGCTAATAGAAGCGTAATTGTACTCATGTAAACATAGTCAATGATGAAAATGACTCAAAGATTTAACACGGATAAGGCATATATCAGAAAGAACTGGCTCCTGCTTTATACCATCCCTCCTTTGACGTGACAAAAGTGGAGTAGACTCAGTCCGTGTACTACACCTAATACAAGATGAGCTGAATATGTGACAGAATCGTGCTAATAGCTGGAAACCTAAAAAGAGAAAAAGACAAAGCTCTTTCTCTTTATCCTGTTTGTCTCCTGCAGTCAGGCTTTCAGCTCCTCTCTAGCTCCACACAGCCACATGAGTCAGCGACTGAGCCTTCAGTGGAGGTCATTGGCCTGGCCAAGCGTGGCCTGCACACAAACCTCCCAGCCATTTTTCTCTACTAAAGCACTATGCTGCTCCCACACTTACAGGCTTATGGTAGGTATGCAGTGAGGTTTAGGTGACGAGCAGGAATGTTTTACTTTGCTCCTCTGACACACTCCTCAGAGCACCCCCCGGCCAGTGAGTCCTTAAACCAAACAGCTCTCGTCATAGCAGAAGTGACTACTCGGTGTGCCAGACCTCGCTTAAAGCAGGATGAGTTTATTCTGCGAGATCAAAGATTAACTCTCTGCAACAATCTCTCTGCTTGAGTCAGTAAAGCTGGTACTTCCTGTTTGACTCCCATGAGGTCCTGTTTATTAATATCACACTCATGCAGAACAACAAAGGCAAAAAACATGGAAATAATTATATGAACGATGGATTACAATGTACTCAAGTCAGTGTGGAAAGTGATTGTTGTGATATCCGGGAGAACAATTCCAACATGTTAGAGCTCACTACTGTGTATGCAGCTTAGATAGATTTATACATAATTTGACATAAATCATGCATATTTATATAACAACTTTAATTCATTTTGAACTTCAGGCACATTTACACTGTTCTAAAGTTCACTTAGTGCATTGTCAACTTTAATGTTGTGAAACTATTTGCTGCTGGGTGTCGAGGATTTCAGGGACACTGATAACGTACATTACAGTGGGTATCTTGCAGTCTTCAGTCTCTACAGGGATGTAGCCTTGTTGTGCTTTTTATGAAGCAACTTTATAAGTTTAAACTGCTTCCATTAGTCCATTACAAATAATGTTTACAGTAGAACTATTGTGTAGTTTACATTATTCCACTGTTGTTACATTATCCTTTCTGTTGTTTTGGAGATCACTCTTATCAGTAAGTTGTTTAGTAATTAAAGTTACTCTGTCATAACTGCAAAACAAAAAGGCCTTTTGAAATAGTAGGAAGGAGACCTAAAATCAATAATCTATTATTTTAAAATGGAAGGAACAGTATGTTCGTTTGTGGAAATGACTGAGAAATTATTTTTTTTTGATTCACCTTCTCACAGCTCTGAAAACACCTGCTGCCTTTCATGAGCAGATTCGCAGCCTGGAGAGAGCCAGGGTAGGACAAATATCATCACACTGCAGCTTGTGACTTTATTTATCTAAATCTAAATGATGCCCCCAAATACATATTTAATTAAATTGTCTTTTTAACAGACTGGAAGCTTCTTAAAGCACAAACTCTGCAGCAGACCTGAGCGCTCCGAGCTGGTCCGTATGCACATCCTACAAGGTAATCTTCGTCCTGTGTACTTACTTGGTAATGGCTTCTAGATAACAGAGATGAATAAGGTGCTTATTCATCCAATCTCACTTATTGCCTGTTTGAATTTGTTTTACAAAGTTAGAACCAGATAAATGTCTTTGAGGTTGACAGAAGTGTGTGAGGTCTAGCTGAGCCTGCAGTGACTCATCCTGACAAAGCAGTTAAGAGTTTGACTGTTCCTGGTCATATCGCAGCTAATGATCCTGTGTGTATTTATCAGAGACGCAGGCTGAACCCTCCCTGCATGCCACACAGATGAAGCTAAAGAGGGCCAGACTGGCTGATGATCTCAATGAGAAGATCGCCCAGCGGCCTGGACCCATGGAGCTAGTGGAGAAGAACATCCTGCCTGTGGACTCTGGTGTCGAAGAAGACATCGATGGTAGATACTCATCAATGCCCTTATATCCTCACTATCAGAAGACCAGAGAGAAACATTTTGTTTTAGCCCATTTTGGTGCTTCGGTCACCACTAACTGTTCACCTCTTACAGTGACAGCCAGAGAATGAACTCAAACCTGCATTGCAGCACATCAGGCACATGTTTTAGCCATAATTGTTGTAATTGCGCCTGTGTAAATATCTCCTCAACTGTTTAATGTCTTACAATTACATTTTGCAAACACTTCATCATGGATGGTGGATGAAGACTACTGACTTTGGTGATACCCTGACTTTTCCTTTGGTGCCACCATAAAGTTAACATTTTTAGTTGTTATAGTGAAATATCTCGACAACTATTGAATGGACGGCTATGAAGTTTGGTAGAGATGATTTCGCTCTAAGGATGAATTGTAATGGGAGTTTGGTTATCTGCCATTATCAGGTCAAAATATAAATGTGTCCAATACATTGGTGTGTGGTCACACCCTCCAAACACATTACATTCCCATTAGCCTCAGCTGTACTTTGTGTTTAGTGCAAATTAGCAAGCTAACATGCTAAACTAAGATGGTGGAACTTGGTAAACATTAGACATGCTTAGCATCAGCATATTTTCTTCAGTACCAAATACAGCATCACAGAGCAGGCTGAACCTTCCCTGCAGTCCACACAGATGAAGCTGAAGAGGGCCAGACTCTTGTATTGTCTTGTGTTCATTAAAGTGATGGCTTCTATAATTTGTAGTTTAACTGATGACTCAAGTTATCCTTTAGTTTTGATTTTTCCTTTAAGTATAATAAACTGTACTTGCTTATGTTTTGATGCTGGGCCAACAGGTGGTGAGGCAAACAGTTCTAAGCCACCAGACATTTGTAACTTTGAGGACAGCAGTGATGCTTTATCATCACAACGGACTGCCAGCCAAAAATCTCCCAGCTCCACCTCTCAAAGGGAGTCTGGCGGGACTTCTACTTCCTCTTACTTAAACTCTCCCATACAGGTACACCAATATCTTGAACCACTACAATTTATAAAACATAAACTGATAATGTCAGCAGACAAACCAGCCTTTTTTGAAAAGTTCTATACTGCAGCAGAGGCTTAAATGTATATAATTCTTTAAATGAAGCCAAGAAAGTTGTTTGTTTCGATACTGGTCGTGTTTTTTACTCATGAAAAAAATATTTTGAGATGTAATTTAAGTTTATGTACTGTATGCATATACACTTTACTAATAATATATTTATCATTTGTAGAAACATTTTGTACTTTTATTTTTTAATATTTAGATGTTTGATAAGTGCTTATCCACCTGTTTTTGGTTCCAGTTGAGTTTGTTTTTTTTCTTTTCGTGGGATGATGATTAAAAGGCAGAGCGGCTTGACTGTTCTTACTTAACGGATCATGTGGTTTCTCTCTGTCTCTGCTTTTCTTAGCACTCCCCACCACCTAACTCACAGTCCACATCAGATGTAGTCAGCCTTGTCTCCACCAGTGAGCAACAAAGCAAACAACAAGCGTCTACACTTCAGCCAATCTCTACTGTTGTCCCCAGTATCACACCGGGACCACTTCTTGTGAAGGTTGGCTTCAACTGTTTATTTAACAGCTCCATATTTGACCAAAGTAATTCCAAAGTCTATTTAACCTTATTGTAAGGAGTAGATTTTTTTTAGAGGATGACTTCATTGAAGCAGTGTATTCACTTACAGTCTCCTGGTTTACAACCAACTGACGTGAAATTGACCTCTGGTACTGAACCCTTCGTCTCTCTGATTTATTGACTTTGTTTTTGTTTTCTTTTTTGCTTCTTTTGGAAATGAGATGAAGGATGCAATGTCAGAAGACACAGAGTCTGTGTTTTGTCATACTGAAAGTCATATCGGTTTTAGAATGAACTGAGAGTCAGCATTCAGCCAAGTTAAACGCAGTTCAAAGAACAACAGAGTTTAAAGTCATTTCACAAATCCTTGGGTTGAAATGTGTTCCAGCCACAGTTTGTCCTCAATTAGGGTCAAATGACAAGCTGGCCTTCCTCATTCAGGCTGTGTGAAATGTAAGCCAAAAATCAAAGGACAGGAGTGGAGCAATAACTTTGCATTTATCATAATCCAATTATCCTCTCTGAGCATAAGATGAACTCTCCCTCCCTTGGAATACAATAGGAGAATGAGTTTGACAAATTGGAGGGTGTCCGCTTGCTTCACCCAGCTTGAGTTTCTGTTTCATAGCTAGAACCTGCTGCTCTTAAGCCAAGCCGTTTTCATGTGTATCCTGTAACTGCAGGTGGTAAAACAATAAAGGTCACATTTCCACTACCCGTTTCCTCATCCTGAGGTTTTCATTGGGTGTCAGAACAATGTTCTACCTTAATGCTTCAATATACAAAACCCAGTATCAGTTCCAAGTCTTGTAGTGTTGGTACTGGCAATGCTAACTGTATTCCCTGATAAAACTGGACTGAGATCAATCGCAGGAATAAATATATCCTCCAGATGGTCCTCTCAGCTTTTACATGCCCCTTTTCTATGTTGTGTTCTGCAGCAAAGCCTGCCAAAGCTACCCAGCGATAGAAGCCGCAGCAAAAAGAGCAAAGAGCCCAAACCACGGGTGAAAAAGTTAAAGTACCATCAGTATATCCCCCCAGACCAGAAGCAGGAGCTCAATGAAGTGCTGATGGACTCAGCTTATACCCGTCTCCTGCAGCAGCAGCAGCAATTCCTGCAGATTCAGATCTTGAACCAGCAGCAGCAGCAGTACAGCTACCAGGCTGCCCTGCCTGCCCCACCCAAGTATGGCTCCATTTATAAGCACAAACACTCCTTCTAAGCAGCCAGAGATGGGATATGGCTTACCCACAAAGTTTGCCTTTATGCATATACGTCGATTAAAGACTTTAAAGAACAAATATCGCTTTTTTTAAGAGTTAAGTTATTTGAATATTGTTTTTCAACAAACCGAGTCAAAAGTCTATACCTGGTTTTACAGAAAGTAATAACTGTTTAGCCACAGCTGCTGTTTGTCTCAAATACTTTACATGTCCTGCCAACAGCTTCCTACACAGAAGCTGTTGATTGTGAAAAATTGATAAAAGTTTATCTTTCCTCTCTAATCCGTACTCCCTTTTTTTCTTCTGGTCTTATTACAACAGACCAACAACTGAGGTACAAACCAGCTGTTCCAGTGTTGTTCTGAGTGGAAACACTACGTCTACCCCTCTGCAGCCCCGCCACACTCAGACGAACTGCAAGCCGGATCATTTACCAGCTAATCTGGATGAGATGAAGGTGACACATTGCTGACTGCACACAGTGACTATCGGCATGTATGTATGTTGCAGCTGATAATCTGTTATCTTTACAGGTTGCTGAGCTGAAAATGGAACTAAAACTCAGATCTTTGCCTGTTTCTGGGACTAAGACAGATCTGATAGAGAGGCTAAAGTTGTACCAGGAGAACTCGAACATTCAGATTGCTGCTGTCAGTGAGACATCAGCCGTCACAGCAGCCTCACAGTCTGACAACAAAAAGTTAACCTCGCCTGTGTCCCCTATAGCCTCTAAGGTGTCCAGTCTGGGCATAGAGGACAGTAGTATAGCAGACAGCCCCACCAAGCTCTCAGAAGCTCTGTCTCCAACTCACGCTGCTCCCTGTGTGAACTCCCCACAGAGATCTCCACGGGAAGAGTGTCCCACAGAGACAAGGTCCTATGAGAAGGACTCTGAGAGGGACAAACGTCTCCACGATAAGGAGCGTCAGATTGAGGAGCTGATGAGGAAGCTGGAGCAGGAGCAGAGGCTGGTGGAAGAGCTGAAGATGCAGCTGGAGGTGGAGAAGAGGAGTCAGCAAGCAGATTCTCCAGCTCAGCTCATACCTCTTGCTCCCATCCAGGTGAAAGAGGAAAACAGGACCTTATCAAACTGCTCAGCATCTTGCGATTCTCCTGGTCTGCCAGTGTTGGTTAAACAAGAGCAGGTGGCTCCTCAAAATCAGTTCACCATCAGCGACCAGACTTTCAAGCAGCCTAAAACCTTGCAGCCAGTCAAGGCTGGAGCTCATATCCTCCAATCTGCATGCCGTCCTGCCTCAGCTGTGACTATCCAGCTCCCTGCCAGCAGCATTAAATTACACACTACTGTTAGCAGCGTAGCCCCAGGTCTCATCCAGACCTCTGGACAGGCGCCACAGAAAATAGAGGCCTCAGCAGCATTACAACAGCAATGCAGCACTCGGACTCAGCTACTGACAAAGGTAAGAAAACACACTAATGATTGCACAGGCTGCCATGGTTCATCTCTTTATAAGTCATCACTATCAGTTGTGATTTTCTGATAGTTTTCGATGGCACCAGCTAATCAGGTTTTTTTTTACATTGTTGATGCTCTATCAGGGGTAAGGCCTCTTTCTTGTTGCCACAGTAATAACAGGCCTCAGCTGCGTGGTAAAAGCTTTCCCTATTCACATCAAAAGAAGGCTTGTGGAAACTTGGGTTACTAGAGCAGGCATTGAGTGAAGGTTGACAGTAGTGCCCTGACTGCCCTCTGTCATCCCTCTGTTCTGAGCCAACATACAACCAGCCAGAATTAGCAGCAGAAATCACAACTCAATGCTAAACGAGAACAGTCATGAGCTAAAGCAGGGAGTGCAGAGCAATCTTTATTTAGGTTCCACAAAGATATGTGGTGCTCTACTATTCTGTGATGCCATTAATGCATTCATTAAATTATGTCTCCATGCTGACCTGTTTAAATGTCTCTGCAGACATGGAGGATGGGTCGTACAGCACAAAGCTTACTCAACACATTCCCAGTGAGTGGATGTCCTGTGGGAGCCTCCTCTAGCCAACCTGGTCCTAAAGATCCTACAAATAAGGTCCTTAGTCTCTCATACTTTCTCTTTGTTTTTTTCTTTTTATCTAAAGCACTTTATAACTGCTGTTTTACAAAGTCCTGTCACCTGGTTTATTTATTTGTACCCCGATGTACCGGATGTAGCCTGTTTTTTTATTTGATGTAAAGGACCGTTGTCTTTTCCTGTTAAACAGGCTCCCTGTACCAGTCAGCCAACTGTGATATTGCCAAAATTCACAAACCATGTGTCAAAGTGTAAAGACCCACCCCGCTATGAGGATGCAGTTAAACAGACACGCAGCATGCAAACAACTGTTCAGGTGACAAATAAATACACTCTTAAGTACAGTGTATCATTTTAAATTGTTACTATAGCCACTCAAACAATAAATGGTCATTCTGGTTTCTCTGCAGGGTCCCACTGCTGCTAGCCAGCAGATGGATGACTTGTTTGATGTGTTAATCGAGAGTGGTGGTGAGAAATACTGCAACTTTTCTTTTTTGGGGGCTCTGGTAAAATAAGATGTAAAGTATTTATGATTATGGGATTCTCACACTGAACTTGTGTTTTAGAGATCTCACCCATCATCAGACAGGATCCTCCCAGTCTGGACAAGCCTCTCCCTGTGACAGCCAGTGTAACCACCCTTCCCATCAACACGGTTTTATCGCGCCCCCCACCCGTCATCCAAGTGGCCCAGCTGCCTGCAGCACAGCTGAACCCCTCGCCCAGCTTGGCTGCTCTAACCTCTAGCAACCAGCTGGAAACCCTCCCGGGTGCTCACACCGAGCCACAGACACTGAAGCTGATAGAGGAGCGACACTCACCTGTGCTTACCATGGAGGGATACTTAAATGAAAACACATCACCCTCTACTTTGAACTTGCACAGCACCAACATGGACAATATGGATTGGCTGGACCTTACCCTGTCTGTGCCAGCAGAGGGGGTCAACTCTTTGGACATGTCAGCGCCAGTGGGCGTCTTCTCCTCTGACTTCCTGGACACACATGAACTGCACTTGAACTGGGACTGACTGCTGGTCAAGGAAAATCCGTACACCCATCAGACAGGTTCAGATAAACATATACTTTTTATGCAAGGGAGGCTGCATTTATTTCCTATGTGGAAAAATTGGGTTTTTTAGAGTTTGTGGCAGCTCTGTTTTGTTTTCTGGCCGTATAAATTAGCTCAGTAGCCTAATAATCTATTTGTGCTGCATCACTTTAGAAATTCCTGCATTGCTTCCTTTGAGGTCTTCAAACCCTCTGATTGTACAGGGAGACAGGGGGACTGGCACTGACAGATTGAGCAGACAGTTGAAGTTGCCTTTACAATTACAATCTTAATTTATGCCACAATTTTGCTATCAATATGTTCTCACGTTATTGCTTTCTCTTTGTCTTCTAATGATAATGAATGTACAGTGTTATATTGGCCTTAGTAATAGCAGAAAGAGCAGGAAAATGTCCTAATGCTGGTTTCAGAACTAATGGACTAACACTACATTTAGCTGGGGGCTATTATGCAGTTCATTCCACCCTGACTCGGAATGATTATCACTATCAAAAGAGATTAACACACACATGGTGAATGTTCCCTGTGTATATGTAAATTGTGAAGCATAAATCAGATGTTTAATTGAATTGAGAATGTGAATATGATAGTGATATAATATGAGACCACTGAGTTACCACTGTGTCAAATTAGCTTGACCAAACAAGTATTTACTACAAAATACTCAACACTCAAAATTGCTCCATCTCCAGTTCTGACAAGATTTCTAGTAGATCAGCCAAATCTTCACTCCTGGATCTCCAGTATGCTACTGTACACTATGTAAAACATACTGCACATGCATGTAAAACATACTGCACATGCATGTAAATCCAATAGTCCTATGAGCTTGAAAAGTAGAATACAGATAACTAATCACAAAAGTCATCCGCTGTGCTCTGTTAAGGCTGTTTCCAAATGAATAATGATAAAATAGTTCTTGGAACGTCATTCAAAGACTCTTGAAGGGTTAAAAAAAATATTGAATTATTCTTGTTTTTTGTTTAGTCAGTTTATTCAAGAGGTGTAAGCATGGCAGCACATACCAGACTCCAATCTCTGTGTGCAGCAGACATACTGTACAGACACATCTTACAGACAAAATAACAACATCCATCAATATGAACCACTGATCCCTTCCAACTGAAATAACATGAATGCATTAGTTGATTTGTATTGTAGCGACATCTGCTGGCCACATCCAAAGCTATTCAGCTTAAGCAAGCAAAGACTGTGGTCTGACTGGTATTCTATTCTTTTAGCAAATTGCAAATAATGACTAAGTATGATGAAAGTATAATTCAGTGTCAAAGAAACCACCTACACAACATGATGAACCACAGCAGGATAGTTTCCGGGCCCTGCGCTGTATTATTAGGGATCTATTGTCTGCCTCTGCAGGTTATATGGAGCATTGCTGACAAACTCATCTAAATGCTGAGGGAATTGTTTAAAAAGGAGGATTTGTTATTTTTATTTGTTTTACTTTCAGCACATTACCGCCTCATTTGACAATCCAAATGTAACTCTTTAGAAGGGATTGTATACTGGAATGAGAAATATTTTGTCAGGACCAAGATTTTGATATCTGAAGCATTCATGTGTAGTCTGTAAAGTATTGACCAATCACATTCAAGCAGTCATCTGACAATGAATTGGCTTTTTGTTGTTTTTTAAAATTAGCTTGTAAACTGGCTACTTGTGAAACAATCCGGTCGTACTTGCATCTCAAATTGCTAATTGATTGATAAAGTATAACTCAACACCGAGGACCACTGCTAATGCATAATTTGTAGACCATCTCTCTTGAAACTTTGTCTGAACTGGTGTTTGCTTCTAAATCAACTACCTGCTCCTCAACCTTTTCAAGCTAAACATATTTCTGGCCATTTCTGGGAACTACAATGCTGAATATTGTTAACGACTTAAAGTTAAAGTCTTACTTATCTGAGAGAACACACTGTGATTCCAATAGCAATACTACATCTACATGTTTCTGATGTTAATGAATTCCTTTGTTACATCCAGACTTGATTATTGTAATGTATTGTCTGGCCTGCCGCATGCTTTTTCTTAAAGACAAGCGGCTAGAATTTTAGGTAAAACTTACACATTATACCAAATTAAGCTTCCAACCATTAGCTCTCAATCCATGAATCAGACTTTAATTAAGGTGCCGCTGATGCCCTTTCATGTCCAACCTTTCTGATCTCCATCCCTTGCTCTGCACTTTCAGAAGGCTCCTGTCTGTCTCCAGAGTTAAAAAGAAGTCAGCTGGCCACAGGGCCTTTTCCTATTATGTTCCCTTCCTCTGAAATTGACTTTCCTGCTGACCAGACTGTCAGACTCTGGTAAGGCCTTTAAATCCTTTAAATTTCACTAAGGCTTCTCTGCGCTGTACCATCGGCCATCCAGAGGACCTATCTCTCTCTCTCAGCTGGCTCTTGGTGTCTCATTCCAGATGTTTTGGATCTGGATCTTCGTCCTTCAGGAGATTCAGCCTCTCATATTGCTTCCCACTCTACCCAGTGTGAATGTTGTCAATGTCCTTGTGTTGCTTTAAAGATTAAACTCCATGAATGAGCCCAATATCACGAATTGCAAATATACTACAGTATATTTACATTCCTATTGATCAGATGTTCTAATAGGTGAAAGTCAATTTGATGCAAATGTCTTAAAATTGTTCAATAATATACATCTACATACAGGCAGACTGCATTAGTCAACACCACATTGACTTGTGCTCCATTAAAACCAAAGTGATTATTGACAAACCTTATCCCTCAACCATTGATATTCAGGGTTATGATGACAGTGACTGCAAACAGGTCAACTCTGCAAGGGATCCATGCTGTGGAAATACGACTCGGCCGATGTCTGATGCTCTTTTAGTCTGAGCTTCAAGTTTCCACCAGCTGCTTTTCTCTCAGAGCTTTTTTACAGTCATGATTTGCGTTCGACACCTAGGACATCTGTGTGTGATAGATTTGAACCTATCCATGCAGAAGGGAATGAAGCAACAACCAGCCACACAGCTGCAAAAGAAGTAACAGGAACAAATTAAAATGTTGACACACCAGGAAACATATGCCTGTGATCGTAACAAACAGCTGCAAAAATAGAAACCGGCACATCAAGGTCTGATTATATTCTCATGCAAATATTTTAGCGTCATGGAGGAAATATTTTCCTACCCAAACGAAGCTATCATGAAGCACATCATCCAGGTGACACTGCTGATGGAAGTAACAGTCTCTGTCATTATGAACTGCTTACACTCAGGACACTGTGTCCTGCATGGACATGCTGGAAGTTTTTTCATGTCCAGAATCACCGTAGGGGCTGTGAACAACAGGAAGATTTCATGTTAGTTTTTCCCAAGAAAACACTCGAAGCCCGAAACCTCTGTAAAACTTCTAGGAGGAAATATTTTGTAAAAACAGGCACTTGGAATAAAGGAAGTACAAACCGTTAGTGTTGCCAACATAAATTGTGATTCAAAACATTTCACAATTCCAGCATTGGTGGAATGTAACGAAATGCAATTACTCAAGTACTATACTTAAGTTCAATTTTGAGGTACTTGTACTTTCTATTTTATACTTCTATCCCACTACATTTTGGAGGCAAATATTTGGGTACTAAAGTTACTTTATACTGTACAGATTTAGATGATTAATACAACAAATACATCAACTAATGAATTCCAATATATTATTATCATTAGTAGTAACAGCAGTAATTAAAATTAGCCCCACCAGCTGTAACATTAAAGTGATGTACACATGAATGCATCAGTAATATAATATATATCATTCTAATGACTACCTTTATTTTTGGAGATTGAAGTATATTTTGTATACTTTTTCCACCACTGAATTTCAAGGGCCAAAAGTTTGCAGGTCTATTAATTAAGACATGATTGCAAAGGAAATGAGAAGAAAAGTTGTTTTCCTTTTTATAAAAATTATTAAAAATAAGATTTGTTTTTTTGTTTTAAATAGAGGAAAGAATATGAATACAAACTCTAATGGGGCGTAACTGAGGAACTTGATCAGTGCAAAAAATGTTAGCACATATGAAGCTAAAAATGTTTCATTAATAACAAAAGTAGGGTGAAAAGTTTGTTTTCACTTGATGTGACGTCAACAAGTGTGACTGGCTGCAGAACATACTATTTGAAGACAAAAGTTAAAATAACCATTTGTGCATCAACGACTCACCGGGGATGTTAGGTGGACCCTTAACATAGAAAATATCGGAGCGAGGATCAGGAACATCGGGCACAATCTGACGGGAGGAGATGCTAACCTCTAACAAAAAAGAATGGGGTTGTTACAAAACCAAAATATTGAGTAGTGAAGTAATGACATGCTGCCAGTAAATTTGGATTCAGCTTTCTTGCCATTCTTCATGTCTTCGGCATCATTGGACTCACCTTTCTTGCCATTCTTCATGTCTTCGGCTTCATTGGACTCACCTTTCTTGCCATTCTTCATGTCTTCGGCATCATTGGACTCACCTTTCTTGCCATTCGTCATGTCTTTGGCATTTAGGATGTTATCGTGGAGTATTTGGAGCTCTGCCTTCCTTTCTGTCAGTTGTTTCAGTTTGTCATCAATGTTGTCAATCTCATGCAGATTTGAGGCTGCCGCCTCTGGTAAAAAAAAAAAAGCAACATACTCATATAAATGAGACAGCAGCAGCAAAATATGATATGCAAAAGACTTGAGATATCCACTATTTTCATGACGTAAATATCTGTCTCATTACTGTTTTGGAATGTCTTGAATGCTCTGTCATACATCACCTGTTTCTCCAAATTCTGCACGATTCCTCATCTCCTGAAATATGCACTGGATTTTTCTCCTTTCCATAAGTTGTTGTCTCTTGAGTGAAAGATGGTTCAACTCGGTCAATATGTTTTGAAGGTCGCTGTCTGAAGAAGTCATGGTGGAAATGCTGAAAAGACAGGGACTTGTTGGATTATTTTTAGGTTTGATATTTGGTTGACTGTATAGGCTCGTTTAGTGTGAAAAATGTTTCATACTTGGGCAACTGGTAGCGTAAAGTTTAGCGAAGGGAGCTTGTGAAACAACCTTGAGGTCGTTGGTTTAATCTCCGGACTGGCAGGATAAATCTGGGTGGAGAAGCCACAGATGCCCTTGAGCAAGGCCCTATGCCCTAACCGCTAGAGGAGCTACTCTGTTGCTAGCAGATCAGACTGGTTACACTGGGCAGCTTCCAGATGCAAATGTGTGAATGTGATCAGGGTGTTCCTGTAAATGACAAGCTTACTCTCAGTGTAACGTCCCTGAATAAACACAAAAACAAAATAAATAAATAACACACATACCTGCATAAATGTATGCCTGCCGTGTTATCCATTTATGGCTGAACAAGTATTTTGATAAAATAGTGAGTGGGTGGTCAACAGTGTTGCACTAAAGGACACATTTACAATAAACTAGTTATTGCCATCAATTGCCTCACTCACTGTCCACTCTACCTTTACTCTATTTATATCGAGTCTTAAATTAAAGCCATGCTTTAAAAATGCATTTTAAGATGGTTGGTAATGAAACTTAAAAAATATTAAGTGAAACTCTGCTTTTCCTCCAAGAAATAATAAACAATAAAGAGAGCTTTGGGAAAATAAAGAAATCTATTAAACTCATCCTGGTTCGAGTGAGCAAAAGCACCAACAATAATAATTTAGACTAGATAAAATGCTGAAATTAGTTGTCAAAGTAACAAGTGACACAAATCTCAAGCTCATAACTAACTTAAGTCAAAAAACATTACTCAAACATCTAAACTACTGACTCCATTAAGTCCCATTTAAACTGTATTAAATAGATTATGTCAAAGAGAAACGATGTGTATTACCGTATTTACTCAGCTGCTCCAAGTGGATCCTGTACAGGTAACATTCAAACGAGGTCAACAAGGCCATGCACTGTTCACTTATACCAGGAAATATTCAAATCATTGGGTTACAACTGCCTTCTCTGGAAATGTAACAGAATGCTCTTGTCGAGATGCAAGTAAAACACAAACACAAAATAAAAAAAATACTTTAATATGTTTTAAAGTTTGCAGACAACTATACAAAATCATGCCACACTTGTCAGTAAAATGGGGGCTTAACATCTCCAGATATCTTATTTACATGGACCCTCTTTGAGTGACTTGATCAGTTTGTAATGTGCTCAAGATATGCCCCAAAACAATCATCACTTTGTGAAAGTCATTTCCAGTCTGCGGGGCAAGTAGAACCAGTACACACAGGGACCTGGTGTATTTTCCTGACGTGACAAACGTTGGCTGTGACATTTCATTTTTTCCTGAGTCTCTTCATAAATGTCACTTCATCTCTGTTCCTGATCCCGTAGCTGAAGATATGAAGATATACAGAGTCAAACAGTGCTGGTGATAACAGCATCACAAGTGAAGGAAGTGATTATTTACTTACTCTTTAAGTCTCATCTTGTCATCTTCAAGCTTTTCCCCTTGAAAAATTAACTGATACGTTCTCCAAACATATCTCCTGTAAAAGAGAGGAAGCACACAGTTGCAATCAGTTTGGCCATTTCATTTTAAATCCCTTTTATGTTATCCTGTGCTTGTGATTGTATTTACCAGCTGACATGTTTAACTCCACCTTCGCGTTGTTGTTTCAGCTCCATGAATCTGCGAATGGCCTTCTTCAGATCAAGGACAGTGGCATTTTGCACCACCACTATGGCTTAGGGAGGAACATTTTTTTCAAGGTATGGTTAATAAAAATAAACTTTTACAGAACCTATTGCAAACAATTATTTTTATCATTTAAAAAAATGTGTAGTGATGTTCACAAATGAAACAAAATGCATATTAATTATGTGATCAGAAAACAGTGTGTATGAAAATAATGTTTAGGTTCAAAATGAAACAACAAAACGATATCAAGACTCACGCATTATCTCTCCATCTGCCTTTACAACCCTCACAGTCATCGCTTGGCCATACTCCAAAGCAATCTGAGAATTGACCTCCTCCAGAGTCACCTAAAGATAAAGATGATCAGGGTGAAGGGACATGTACAGCACTTCTTCTATCAGTACAGATTCAGACACCCGCAAAACGCACTGCTCTGTTTCTCAAACCTGGGAGCTAACCTCCCCAAGGTGCCAACTCAAATACAAATAAATGCAACCAATTTTTTATAATGCAATCATTTTCTATTCTTCTTAATATTTTGTAGGACTTACTATAATGCATACTATGGATTTCAAAGATTTTTATTTATATATATATATATATATATAGTGACCAGCTCTGTTTTCAACCAGGAGTGTGAATGAATGTACTGCATGTAAATGTCATATTTCTGTTTTTTAACACTTAATATTTTCCTCACGACAATTCATATAAAGTGTATTACCGACAGATCAACCCAACCTGAATTGGCAGATCACAGAGTAAAGGGTCTTGCACAAGTCGAGCAAGTCCCTCCTCGAAAATATCCAAGATCTCTGAGTGAGGAAGAGCCTCCTCATCTTCCTCATCTTCCTCCTCTGCGTCTAAGGATGCCATCTCTGTCAGGTTCTCGTTTCCCGCCTCTTCATCCTTTACAGACAGTCCTCCTCCAACAGTGTCCTGACTCTGCTTCTCCATCATCACGTTATCCAACAAACAGTTACTCAAACAGTAACAGCCATGAAGTAAACACACAATGTGTACGGTAAATAATACATACCGGAAGGCAACCGTAGCTCAGTATAATTAGTTCCCCTTTGTGGACGCAAATTCACACTATACTTTAGTATTTTATTTAGAAGAAACTGATTTAGGTTATTTAATATTATTTAGTGGTGATATACTTTTTTAACGTGGTTTTAAATCAATATAAACGCGTACTTGTCGTTTAATATGTCGTTTCCCACCGAGCGATAAAAAGAGTAGCACCTGCTTTCATCAGCCACTTCCGCTTCTCCACATGCACTAACAGTAGGGAGAACTTAACAGTTTGCTAACTGTGTGAAACTAGTACTCGCATTGAGTTTGAGATTGCTTTGGTTTGTAGCGTCTTGCTACACATATAATCCCGGGTAACATGCTTCTGTTTTGTCCAACCTGCGGAAACGTTTTAATTGTCGAGGAAGGACAGAAGTGCATGAGATTCGCATGCAATACCTGTCCGTATGTACACAACATCACGAGAAAGGTGAGTTATGTTGACATGAAATATCACGGCACAAATCACGTAACTTGTGTGTGATGTTTAATGTCTACGTTTCGACGGAGAAGGTGTTGCTGCTTGGCTCACACGTGACTGAAGTGTCTCTGTGTTTGACATACTTTTGTTTTCTGCAGGTTCATTACAGAAAGTATCCCAAGCTGAAGGAGGTGGATGATGTTCTTGGTGGAGCTGCAGCTTGGGAAAACGTGGACTCTACTCCCGGTAAGTGACATTAAGTCTCTCGCCTTGATACAGTTAGCAAGTGTTGTCTCGTCATCTAAAGAAAACATGGTATTGGTTATATAATACTTGTGCTTTATATTATTCTTCAGCCTTGTGGCCCCACATGCCCGTTCACACACTCTTTCTTGTAATGCATGTTTACAATAAGACACATGACATTCATGCTATGCAAAATAATAAACCCACCTCGATGATTTGCATAATTTATTGTTTCACAAAATGGTTTGAACATAGAAACGTTTGTTTAATTATCTCAGATCTCCACCGTTTATAAATAATGAAAAATAGGACATGCAACGGTCTGGTCATCTTGTGTGTAAAGCCTGATTTGGACATCTGAGCACTTATTTTGTTATTTTATGGATGTTTGATATTTGAATAATAAATCTCATAAGTTAATGACGCTGTCTCTGTGCACGATGGTTTACTGTCAGCTGTGTATAAAATTCTGTCAAAGTTTCATGATTCATAAAATGTTGTGATCTCAATAATATGTGATTCACGGCTATTTTTAAATTCAGCTTTTTATTTTAAGCCATCGACAAAACTCTCATTCAACACAAATCTCATGTTATCCTACACGTTAAAATCTGTTATTCCATTTATCATGTTTGAAATTAACTAGTAGTTGTATTAATTATTGTTTGAAACTTAAAGCATGAAATTCTATATGATCGCAAACACTGATGCCAAAGGAGATGTGCATTACTATGCATGTACTGTTGTATTTGATCTAATCTCATAGTGTACATTTTTTTTCAAAGCATAAAATCTTTGCACTGCATCAATGGTACACGGTTTAACTTTCTAGTAAAACTTGTATTAATCTCATTGGATTCATCCCGTGTGTGTGTGTGTGTGTGTGTTGTACTTTGCAAAGCTGTTCTGATTTATGAAATATTTCCTAGAATAAGAGCTGCACACACACTAACATTTGTTTTTCCTGGAGATGATTCTTGTATTAATTTAAATATGAATCAGACGAGCTTTTACAGCTGTATCGTCTTATACATGATGTCTTCTCTTTTGCACGGTGTAAACCAAACTCCACAATGTCTTGTGATTGCAAGCTGACACTTACTACTTGTATCTGTTTCCAGAAACCTGTCCAAAGTGTGGACATCTCCGGGCGTATTTCATGCAGATTCAGACCAGATCAGCTGATGAACCAATGACCACTTTCTACAAATGCTGCAAAGCCCAGTGTGGACACAGATGGAGAGACTGAAACCGTTGCACTTTGAAAATCTTAATGTATTTAATGCTTAAGTGGCAAAGATACTTTTCGTATACCTTGTCCCTTTTTTGAGCCTATATTTAATGCCAACAGGCTTCATGGAAACTCTTCTTCTTCTGATGTGCAGTTTCTGTGCACCGGCCCAGCTGAAGAAACTTTTTCTTTTTGTGTTTTCAGATCATACTTGCACAGTTCATTTTCACAAAAAAAATATTAAATTGAGTTTCAAGGAAAAGTCATGTTCTGATTTTTATTGATAAAATAATACCTGTGTACAATGGTCAAACAAATGTTGACTCGCATAGTTATACATATCAAACATTTAGAGAGCAATGCAGACCAGCATTATCCACAACGGTCCGTGCACGGAGTATAATTCATTTTCCATTGTTCATTGTTGTTGTATAATGAACAATGTCAGTTTAGGGGTATTTCATAACCTCATTGGTCTACTTATGCAAATGTTTCTGCTACGTGTTTGTTGTTTGATAGCCGATGCTGCCTCAACGTGGTTAATGCTCGGCCTGTGTTACTGTCGCATTGAAAGAACACGTGCAATGCAATTCAGCACCAAAACTTCAGCTTCTTCCAACTTTAATAATGAAAATTGAGTAAAGGAAGTCGAGTCAGAAACAGAGACATATCGCCTTCAAAGTAAAGGTTGTGCGTTTTCAAACTTGCTCCAGCGATCAATTCATGGAAAGCAAAATTAAAGAAACAAAAAAAAATAAAATATTCTACACAATATATAACGGTTAGTCATATTTCTGCCACTTTCCCACAATTGAATGTGAATAAACTGCCACTGGTCGCAAACACTGAATCATTTGATTGTAATGATTCATTATGTCATCGATCTTAATGAATGTTTCAGGCTGTGGTGTTGAGACTTCGTGAGTCCGACTCTAAAAAGAGTTGATTTAACTTGAATTTCGACATTAATACTGGCTCTGTTATGACAGTAACGCCACTAAGCTATCCCATGTAAAATCCTTCACGTTTATTTACTGTTTGCACTTTTAACTATTCTACATAAAATAAATGAATAAATAAAAACCCTTCTGCAGGATTATCCTCTGGGCTGTGTATAAAGTGCTTCATTATATTCCACCACATCAAACTCACTTTCAAACAGCTCACTCAGCACTGCCAGCCTGCACTTAAATAACGTGTTCACTGTGACCGTCTCTAACAGGGTGCATGTGTATCTGCTCACAACACGGGCCTGTATTACAATACTTAATAGTAATAACATATAAAACATACCGTCACTCTTCAAATTGCTTTACTTTTAACAGATTAGAGGTTTTCTGCGCGTCTGCTGCACGGTAACAGATATCAGGCCAGCCAATCAGCTCCTAGACGACAAATGAGTCTGAAATAGGCTGATTTAAAAGTAAAGCAATTTGAGAAGTGAAAGTGTTTTATGTTATTACTATTGTTAATAAGCATTGTCGTACAGACCAGTGTTGTGAGCAGAAACATGTGCACCCTGTTGGAGACTGCTGTATGCAATTAAAGAGTAGCACTGCTGTGTTGACTACACAAAACCACTTGTCTTATGCCATAGAGGATAATCCAGCAAAACAATTTTACAACAGTAAATAAATGAATGATTTCACATTGGGCAGCTTAGTGGCGTTATTGTCGTGACGTCATCAGGGAACATATTCACGTCTCAGCACTATAGCCTGTAACATTCACCCACATAATTAATTAAATAAATTGATAAGATATTTCCATACAGACGATTCCAGTGGTTGTGCCAATTGGCAATTTATTCACAATCTGTGGGAAAGAGGCAGAAACATGACTTCATATATACTTTTATTTTGAAGGCGAGTCGTCTCTGTTTCTGACTCCCTTTACTCAATTTTTATTATTAAAGTTGTAAAATGGAACAAGCTGACATTTTGGTGCTGAATTGCATTGCACGCGTTCATTCAATGCGACAGTAACACAGGCCGAGCATTAACCACGTAGAGGCAGCATCGGCTATCAAACAACGAACACGTAGCAGAACACAGTAGCACAAGTAGACCAGTGAGATTATGAAATACCCCTAAACTGACAGTTCATTATACAACGGCAAAATAATTACACTTCTTGCACAGACCCACAACAATGGCAATAATTAAAAGTTTGATGCACTTCAACTCAAAACGTACTTCCTTGCACAGTTTAACTATCCTGAAGAAGAAAATAACTCAAATGCATAGAGTCAAGAAACTAGCCGGTGAGAATCATTTGTTTCGATGTGTGGCTCATGCAGACAAACTGCACTTTGTGAACCGCAGATTGGGCATGCTGTGGTGGGCAGACAATGGTTGTCTGATAGCATCTCAATGGAATCACAATGTCGGATACAATCATGTATTGTGAAGCTGACTCCGAGCAGAGGTCTCTATTTAGTATTGGTCAAAAGACATCGGTATTCTCTAACATGCATCTTAGCAATGCGGGTAATCTTAAAGGGCTTATGCCACATTAGGAGGGTTATAGGCTGAACAATGCTCTGTGATAATGATGGTGCCGCCACTGTAACGTGTTTGCTGGCACCTTTTTTTTTTATAGAGAGGACATGTGATTGCTAAATTGTCGGTGCGTCTCTATCAGTGACAGTGAAACTCTGTCGGCTCTACTTTAAGTCTGCTATGATGCACTGCTCTTACTCATGAGACGACGATGCAAGTCCTCAAAGACTAATGACAGCAGGGGTTGATGGGTAATATGAATGTATCAGCAGGGGAAATTAAATTCCAACTTAAAGTGCAAATCTTGGCTTTATTATCAAAATGAAGTACATCATGGACAGAGGGACGTAACCGTAAATCACTGAACATTTTGTGACTGAAGCTCAGAAGATTAATAAATATAGCAAGAAACATCAATCTTGGTCATTCCCAAACAAGCAAATACATCAGTTTAATAAAGCTGAAATGGTTCGTTAGTTTGCTCACATTCAAAAAGGGATAATAATAATAATAATAATAACAAAAGGAAAACTAGGTCCGTTAGAAGAAACTGATCAGACATGGACAGAAATGTTCACAGTTCTCAATATTAACTTGTTAAAATAGTCGATAAAATATTTTAATAAATAAATAAGAAAACAAACGATGAGGCTAACGCAGCATGTTCGACCTCATTACGCTTTCCAGTGAGATTCACAGATGAATCGAAATAAATAATGACCATTTTCACAGCTTTCGTTTCCTTCCTGTCCATCCGGATGTTTTTACCCACTAACATGCATACCTTCACATGCCTTTTCTCCAGGATTCCTTACAGGATGAGATGCACCACGGACCTGCTGCCTATCCGTCCCTGTGTGTGTGTTAGTGCCCTACAGCTTCTGTACACTTCAAATTAATGTTTATACATGAAAGAATTCTGCTGAAAGATATATACAGTAAATATTATGTGAACTAATGAGAAAACTGCACTATTTAAGAAAGCTACACAACACTTTGCAAAATGGGGGGGCTGTCACTACCAGCAGGAGGAGCTGTGAGTTTACGTGTGTGCATGGACATGTCTCTAGCATACAGCTGTCGGTGGTTAGCATATACGCTTGTATGTGTAAATGTAGCCCTTACAGTACGGGCAGGAGTGCGTCACATCCTTGAGGTCATCAATCAGACAGGGAATCAAGCAGCAGCCAAGATCACACCTGAAAGTGAGGAACACAACATCATGTAACGCTGTGATGGAGCAGAGAGAAGTCACGTTATCTCTGCTGTGTGTTGTGATCCGAGCTTCTCCGGGTTTTCTTTATGTAGCTGGTGCAGGGCCAACAAAGCCCGTCACAAACCCCTGTTGGGTCACCTTCATCAGTGTGCCACTTACCCTACGAAGAAGCAGAAGAGGCAGAAGAGTGAGTTCATGAGGCCAACATCGTGGGAGATGCGGGTGACGATTGCCTGCTGACAGTGCGGACACACAGTCTGCACCGGTGAGGTCTGGAACATCTCCCCCTGCAGTACGGTCACAGTGGTAGCTGCTCCTGGAGGAGCCAGTACGGTCGCTGTGTGACCCCCCATGTGGACAAACTGACTGGGACCAGGGCCCATCTGTCCCGGCATCGGGTGAGGAAAGTGACCGGGCGGATGTGGGTAGGGGCCACCTGCACCGAGGTAAATGACACTTAATATAATCTAGATGAAGTTAGACACGGATCAACTCGTCATGTATAATGATAGTCAGGAATCTGATTTAAGGCGAGTGGCTCACAGTGATGGGGCTGTACCAGCAGGACAAGAGTTATTAACAAGAAATTCAATGAAAGATGTTCAAGCATCACCAATACTGTCAAACCCACTGAGAATTAGCATCCAACTGTAGTAGTTTCTGAAAATATGTTATGACAGTGTGTTTGTCAGCTTATTTTTAGACTTTATGTGTTTATTCATATTTGCAGACTGTCTGCAGCACCTGGTTGTAGTGGAGGCATTGGCATGGGCATGGGCCCCTCTCCAGGGACATGTGGGGGGAGGAAGCCTGGGTGTGTGGCCTCATAGGGTGGAGGACCGTAGTCTGGAGGCAACGGCTGTCCCTCTACAGGAGCACTTCTTACAGGACCTGTTACTGAAGAAAGAAAACACAGGTTTGAGTCATGCAAACAGAAATCATACTCTAAGCACCTCACAGCTGGCCCTGCTTGATTATCAGTTTGCTCAAAACGTGTTTCCTCTTCGGGAGAGTTTTCTAGGTTGGTGAATCAGAGGTGCACTTCTCAACAAACACAGGGACTATTTCTCAAACACAATGATGATGAAAATATAGTAAAAAAATGTAACGGTCAGTGTCCAAAATCCTGCATGTTTAGTTGCATTACCAGGTTGTCCATTCTTCTCCTCGATGAGCGGGGCACTGGGACCTCCAGGGTACGGAGGAGGAGGATCACTGGACATACTGGCCGGATGTCTGTAAAGGGGAAGGGGTCGGACGCGGAGCTACCAGCAGAACTCCTCTGGACTTTTATCCTGTGAGGAAAACAAACACACATTCACAGGTTGAGTCCCGCGGCTCGGACTTCTCTCAAGTCATAAAATATTCCAGCAACAGTCAGAGGAAGTAGTTCTGCACACGAGACGTAGGTTTGAGAGCACCAGCATAGGTTTTAAGAAACTTTGTTTCCCGACTACGTGATATCAATGAGTAATCAAATCATTTGACTATGATGACATGACTGTAGACCGCTGTGGGGAAGTTTGAACTCAGCAAACTAGAGACTGACTGAGTCGTGTGGCTTAAAAAATGTTTGTGAAAGAAAATGTCTTTTTCAAAGTAAACAGGTCGAGGCTCTGTCAACATATTCACTAATAAATGTCTTTAAGGGGGAAAAATATTTACCTGCAACTGGGAAAAGAGAGACTCCGCCTGAAGAATCTGGCCACTACCTGTAATATGAAGAAACATGTTAAATTTACTTTAATAAGATAAATTACAATAATATTAATAATGTCACTTCAGGCTACAGAACCACTGAACTCATGTAAATAAAACCAGCTGAGTGACACCAAACAGAGACTTAAAAACTAAAGAGAAACACCGTCGCAATGACTTCATGTACAACAACAACAATCAACCTTGTTATTTGGAGGCATTTCTCCTGCATTGATGCTAACGCTTCCCAGCTAAACTAGCTAGCTGGTGTTTCGTGTAATCCTTCCACCAGATAATCCAGCTCAACGCTACTTGCACGACTAACCATGAATAACTGAGTTGCGTAATGGAGGCCAGCACTAACCAGCACTGGTGTTAATGTGGATCGAGGAGCGCATCTAGAGTACCGTTACGTTAAATAATGGCGGTGTTAAGTGTTGGCTAATTGCCAGGTCGCAGGGTATTTATCTCACCTGGCTGATGATAACGTGAAGCTGAATGTGTTGAGAAACGACTGACAGCGAGTGTGTGTGTGTGTGTTTTCAGATGGTTAACGTTAATCTAACCTGGAAGAAAATGTTGGTTTTTTTGTCAAATCAAAGCATGTTTTGCTAGCTGTCGTTACGCTAGCTAACGTCGCCATTCTAGGAACAACAGACTGGAGATATAAAGCCTGAAACACGTCGCTGAAACGACTCTAAACCGTCTTTAGTGTTGTAAAACACCGAGTCTGTGATGCTGCAGCTGAAAGACACATTACCTGGTTGTGAGAGAGATGCTTCCCGACGGCGGTGTCACGTTAACTGAAGTACTTTGACGTTAGCAGCTTGTCTCCTGATGAGAGTCAACATCCGTTCACACGGATTTACACCCCGCGTCAATGTTGATTATGTTTCAAACAGGCAGGGTATTTAAAACAAAAAGAACACACAAAACACAAGATGACAAGTGAGAAATGTGTAGTATAAGTATGTATACTCCAATAAGAAAGACTAAGATTGTAAATTACAAACAGTAAAAAGCTAGGACAGTAGGTGCTTTTGATAAATTGATCTGTTGAAACGTCACCTATCGTTTGCATACATATTACCGGTGCGATACACAAAAACAACAAAAATACAAAAACATAATCCTATTTATTTTTGAAAGAGCTCACCGGAAATGTTAGTATGCTATCGTGTCTGAATTGACTCTAGCTTCAACGTCTGTAGCAGGCAGACTGGTTAAAATGAGTTAATCTAGGTATGATCTGCTTAATCCGGTAATAATCAACAAATAATGAGTTGTACAAATATATATCAATAATAATAATGTATTGTACGTATTGATACAAAAGATAATTGCAATATTACTGTTTAGTAGCCAACGATTAAGTTTCCAGGTGGTCACAGCGAGGAACTGCATTACATTAAATTTTAACTATAGACTGTATAGTGTTAATAAAAGTAAAATTGTTATTAATATGAATATGTAAAACTCATTATTCGTGTGCTATAATAAATAGTAACAGTAGTTTGTATTCATAGATTTGTCTCGATAATAATTTGCTGTGAGGAAACTGCAGCACTATATTCAATAACTAAATCGGTGTAAGCATTAAATCAAGCTGTAAGACAAATTATTAATGTAATTATTATAAATAACAACATTAGCATCAGTATTGATGTCTTAATAAAACTGTTTAATAACAGTTTTCTCATGTGGAGTCTAATTGAGAAGAGAGTTGGCCAAAGTCTCTTTAAAATCATAGGGTTATCTGCCCTCTAGTGGACACAGAAGGTAACTACAATACTAACAAACCTAATCAAGCTAGTGTGAATACAGACAAAACGATGAAAATACTTCCGGTCTATACTTTCAAATGAATGTGACCAAAATAAAACGAAAATAAACAAAAAATATCATGAAATGATCGATTTCATTGTTATCCAGTGATCACAGCGAGTAGGAACTACATCTCCACATCCTTCAGTGGAAATGCCACAGATATTTATACTGATATTCATAATTTTGTACGTGTCTCTCACAGTTAGCATTCCACGTCTGTAACAACACGGGCCACACGGTGTTTTCAAAATAATGGCAGATGTAAACACTGATGTTAAAATGTTGTCTAGAGTCTGGTGAAGTGATGCAGCATGAACGTTGGTAGTGTAGTCCACCGGAATGAGGGAGCCGACATGAAGGACTGTATGGGGATTTCCAAACCATCATATTATTTTACAGTAACATCAATCTCGAAAAACCATAATTTTTTTTATGTAGTGATATGCAACATATATTATACATTATACTATTTATATGATCATTATTAATTGTATTATTTAAAAAAAAACATTTAGTTTGGTTACTTTATTTTCAAAGTTCTTAGCGGAAGTGTACAACGTCTGCTTTGATGCTGTCTTGATTAATTTAGTGTAACGAAGTTCCTCCTTGTGGCCACTAGAGGGCAGTATATATTAATAACGATTGTATCTATACCAACAGTTTGGCCAAAGTTTCTTTAGAATTGTAGGGTTATATGCCCTCTAGTGGACACAGTGGGTAACTACAATACTAATTAATAAAGTTAGCGTCGATGCAGATATAAAACAAGGTGTATACTTCCGGTCTATACTTTCAAATTAATGTGACCAAGATAAAACAAAGAAACATAACAATATCACGAAATTATAATTTTCATCGTTCTCTAGCTAGTAGTAACTACATTGCCACCCTTTAGTGGAAATGGCATAGATATTTATGGTGACATTTTTTTATTTTTGTATGAGTCACTCACAGTTAGTCCATGTCTGTAGGCTACATGGTGTTGTCAAAACAATGGAACAGTCAGGCACTGATGTCTCCGAAAAGGGAGTCAACATGAAAAACTGTACGGCTGACGGCACACCTCCAGGACAGTAAAGACTTACCTGTACCCACTTGATACTGACGATAGTTCTCCAGCATCTCAGTACAGCCCAACTCAATACGAGAATACACTGCACTCCAGGAAACACAATGAGGAACTGCACTACATTACATATTGATAAACACTATATATGTCAGATACTGACAGTGGTACTAAAATGACGATATGCTCATCGATAACTCAAAATAATAGCTGTGTCAATTAATTTATGTATGTATTTTTGGAGCACCATATACACATTTATTTACTTATTTTCAATCTATTGTGCACATTATTTTTTATTTCATGTGTTATGTGCCGACATTTTGGGCTTTGTATAAAAAAAAAAATTGAAAAAGCTGACAGTTATTTTGATTTTGCTCTACTTTTATTTTTATTTCATCTACTTTGTCCCTATAGGTTTATAACAAACGATCGACGCACTTGCCCTGACCCCTTCCCCTCCTGACCTCCTCCCCGCCGGGCGGTCCCAATATAAAAAGCGAACGCCCTACGTTTCTGGACCGCTCGGAGACAGCCAATCAGATTCGCTCGTTGTACCAGTAGCTCAGCTCTGGATAAACAACAGAACGTCTCAGTCGTCTCAATTTGTTTCCTGTTAGCATTAGCATTAGCATCCGCAGCATAGCCACTGATCACACTGAACGTGTAACATGTAAACGAAAGCGTTTACATATTGTCGATTATATATATATATGTTTTTGTTGACCTTAGTGTCCGTTTAAAGAAAGCGATAATCGGAGCAGTAACGCGCTGTTAGCTGCCGAGCTGCTAGCTAGCTAACATCAACACAGAACGATGGGGTCCATCCTGAGTCGCAGAATCGCTGGTGTTGAGGATATCGATATCCAGGCAAACTCGGCCTATCGATTTCCTCCGAAATCAGGTAAGTATTCGGTAATCTGGATTCGGTTAAATCCAGATTATTCCCACTATCACGTATCTTCTTTAGCGAAAATAAACACGGAGGCACTGAGAACACTAACGTTAGCTAGCTAGGCTCTAACGTTAATGATTGATTATTGTCTGTTGATTATCATTCGCTAGTATTCACAGTTAGATCGTGAGCGTGTAGAAAGGTGACTGTCTGGATCACGCGTTATTCATCTTCTGTTGTCTGCAGGGTCGTGCTACTGGACTGTCAGAGTATTGCAAGTTGGTTTATTGTTATTACGACATCGTGATAATAACACACGAAGCTTTGTATCCCTCACACTCAAACTTAATGTACAGACTTCGTCAAAGTGTTTCATCCACACTGAATTGAAGCTACAAGAGCTGAGGAACAAGTGACGCTGACAGCCAGAGACATGACACCCATGTCAACAAATGACGTTCAGCTTCCATACACGACCTTTAAGGCTCTGTCTCTTGTTAGTGTGCTATTTCAAAGGTGTCTAATATATGTATGTCTTAGTCTCACGTGTTTATTACAATGTACTTAAGATATTGTCAAACAGTAAAAACACAGAAGAGATTCTACTTCGTTTAAACCCATAAAAATACCACACATTGTACTGTCAATTGGTCATATAATCTCCTGCATCTCAGTACACACACCACATTCGTTTTCTTTTTTAATCTAAGAAGGTTTACACCTCAAAACAATTTTTTTGAGATATAGAAATATGAATGATCACATTCATGCTACAACAGGTAGAGATAATTAATGGCATGGTGTTGTGTGACTTTATATTAGTTTTTCTCATATGAATTATATGCCTACATTAGACGCAAAAACATAACAAAGAAGAGAACCTGAAAACAAGTTATCATTAACGTTTTCACGTCTCTTGTCCTCCTGCCTCTGAAATGACTGCATTATTAACCATGAGCTCGAACGTGTTGCTCCAAAGAGTCGTATTACACTTCAGCCAACAATTTGTACAGCTAAACCGTTTTACTTTTTACAGGCAGATCATTTGAAGTAACTGTATGTTAATTGAGATGTTGATTACACTGACACAGACAGAGAGGTCCCTTTTTATAAAGAAATGTAAGAACATGATCAGTGTCACCATATGATGTTGCTTGCAGCATCTTTATTATTCATGTTAGTTTCCTCTTGTCTTCAGGGAATTATTTTGCGAGCCACTTCTTTATGGGAGGAGAGAAGTTTGACACGCCGCATCCAGAGGGATACCTCTTTGGAGAAAACATGGACCTGAATTTTCTTGGAAATAGGCCAGTGCAGGTAAAAACAGATGTTTCTTCAACCCAGTTGTGTTAATCATCTGAGAACAGCTTTAAAACTACTATGATGTAGTTCTACATTTTATGTCAGACCATGTTGATAAATACAAATCAAATGTCATCATCCATGTTGCTCTTATTATGTCGATAGTTTCCATATGTGACGCCTGCACCCCATGAGCCCGTGAAAACCCTGAGGAGTCTGGTCAACATTAGAAAGGACTCTCTGCGTTTGATCAGGTAAAGATAACAGACGCAGAGTAAAGGTAAACAACTGTTTAAAGGAAAATAACTTCCATTGTTACCTAAAGTGTGAAACCGTGTGATTCTAGGTATAAAGATGACTCCGACACCCCGGTGGAGGAAGGTGCGAAACCAAAGGTTCGGTACGGTGTGGAGTTCACCTTCGATGCTGATGCTCGGGTGGCCATCACCCTCTACTGCCAAGCATTCGAGGAGTTCTCCAACGGGATGGCAGTGTAAGACTTCATCTTTTCATGGGACAGAGTCAGATGAAGCTTTAACTATTGGGAGCACAAACATGGGCCACATCTCTCGGCCTTTGAGAGGATCCATTGTTCAGACTAGAACAAAGCAGCATTGTACTAGTGGAAAACCTTGTGCCAGAGACTTTTAAACTCTGTTTTATGGATAGTGAGACTCAAGCCTGAGAACACACAGACTAGAATAGATACAGTGGGTTATTAGCAACCTCCAGTCACCATGGATACTGCTAAGGAGACTTAGAAGAAGATGAGAGTAACATTTTGCTCTGAAGTTATCGTGTTACGATGAGAGGAGACAGAAAGATGAGGCCTTTCTTACGGGACTGCATCAGATATTGTTACTGTTGTGCTATGCTCTTCAGTGTTCTTTATTTTCATCTTGTCTGGGGACACTAGTGTACCGAGTACTTAAAGACGATTTCCTTAAAGACAATTGTCTGAATGAAACTGCCCAGTTAGAAAAACAGAGTCCAGGATTTCTTCATCCTGCTGCACATTGACGATCTCTCTCTGAAACGTACTGTGTGCAGATACAGCCCAAAGAGTCCGTCGCTGGTCTCTGAATCTGTGCACTACAAGCGAGGGGTGAGCCAACAGTTCTCCATGCCGTCTTTCAAAATAGATTTCACCGAGTGGAAAGAGGAAGATGTAAGTATATAGATATATATATCTTTAATAACTTTTTACACTTTTCTATGAACAATACAGTTTGTAATTATAAGTCTTCAAGGAAAAACATTTACAATTACATTTTAACAAACAAATTTAGTTTCATGACCGAAATATAATTACAGAAAGAGCATTTGTCTTAATTATTAATACGACATTTAAAGATAAATAATATATGCGGTAATATCTGTGAATGAGTTTAAATAACAGGTCTTTGTTACTCAACACATTTATAGAGGAGAGTAAATACAGTTCTCCACGTTCTAGCACCAAGAGCTCCGTCTGCCCATTTATAT